AATTTTATTCCATGCTTGCCAAAGCCCATGGAACTGTACGACACAATGAATGAAATTTAAACTATGGATTTTAGTTAATAATTATATATCAATATTGATTCATCAGTTGTAACAAGCAAAAATGGTTTTTGTTTTTCAAAGTAATATGAAAAGTACAAAGGATGTCAGCTGTGATGGCCAATGTCCTAAAATTATACAAAAAAAAAAATAAGTCCTTTATTTTTTATTTTTCTAGAATTCCTTACTGGTATTACAACAGTCAAGTTGATTCTCCTTGTCTCTCAAATGTTTCCATTTCCTCATCACTTAAAGAGATAAATACCTCACTTTTTTTAGACTGCTTTCAAAGAATATGATAGATTGTAGAGCTTTGAATTTGACCCATTTCTTTGATGTAATTTGCGAATGAAGCATAGTAATGTAAAGAAAGCCAGAGATGAAGAAATATTTCATTGAAAAACACAACCCTATGAACTATGATTGGCATCCGACCTATGAAGAATTCTATTTGGGGTCTGATATGTCCTGCCTTTGAAGATACAGCATTCCTTCGTTTAAAATGATTCAATAACTTTTCCTGCCAGCTTTCTGGAGGTATAATTGACAAATAAAACTGCATATATTTAAAGTGTGGAACATAATTCAATAAAATGATGCAATAACTTTTAGAGGCCACCCTAACGAGGCGCCAAAGCGATCTCAAACATTTTAATGAGTGTTAGGGCCTCTCCCTGTGTCAGGAAACAATGAATGAATGCATTGTTGTCAGGTAGGTAATTAAAAATAATGGCACCAAAGGAGGATATACACTTAACTTATCACATGTTCCGACCAAGGCATATAAGCATCCCTCTATCCATGCCGACATTCACACTCAGGATATTGCCTTGAATAGCAAACCCAACTCAACGCCCTTGACACCATGAGCTACTATGGCAACTACTATGGCGGCCTGGGCTATGGCTGTGGCTGGGGATGTGGCAGCTTCCGCGGACTGGGCTGGGGCTGGGGCAGGAGAGGCCTCAGATATGGCTGCTGCCACCCACTGTGCTACGGGGGATATGGGTTCTCTAGCTTCTACTGAAATCCTGCCCTGGAAGTCCAACATCTGAGGCTATGAGGTTATAACTCTAACCCAAATTTGAACCAAACAGTATCAGCAGGGACCAAGCCAAGATTAAAGAATTTAGTATCTTAGAATCTAGGAATATTTATCATCCTCTATTTGACTGCTCCGTGTCTCCAGGTGTCCCCTATTTTCATTGTCATAACTGTGGAATTTCTCTGTTCCCTTTGCAATAAATTATCCTCATTTAAAATGGAAACTATGGCTTATCTTATTTATTTATTTAACTCAATTCTGATTTTCCCTTTCACGATGTGTTTCCCTTCTTGTGTCCTTCCAAAGAAACAGTCCTATGCTTCTGGTTATAGGTCCCTGCAATTATCATAGCAATATAAACACAGAGTTTATGAGGATTAGTCCACTTTCCACAATAGCCACTTAATTTTGTTCAGAGGTGTTAGTTTTGTTTTCGAATCTTGAACCCATTAATTTCTGGTTTATCTGGAGCTGGAAAAAAAATAACTAGCAAGCAATGCTGAGTTCAAATGCTATTTAAAATATTAAGGATGGATTTTGAAAGGCTCAGATTTGTTTGCTAAACATAAAACTAGATTTGTTCAGTCAGATAGTAAGACCTAACTTTTTAGTCAACGTAGTCATATTATATGAGCTTTACATTGGCTAGATCAGAGAAAGTAATAGCTTGATGACTTCACTGGGTGACTATACTACTTAGTGTGACAGAGTACAATGGCTATTCTATTTTCTTAATGGTTAATAGTAACTCTCCAGAATTTAGAAAAAGGCCTTCTGTAGTTCTAAAGAAGAATAATCAATACCATGACTTGGAGCAGGTATTTGATATTCCTCGTATAATATTATATTATTAGAATTTGAAATTACTGCTTTTATGGGTCTCTGCTGGATTTAGGAAAATTCTCCAGTACATATTTATTTCCAGGGAAAAGATATTGCTTATGTTAGGAAGAGCACATCACACCACTGATGCACCTCTGGCAAGGTCAAATAGGCACTGTGTGATGCACTGAAACCTGTGTGCTTTATTTGTAATTTTATAGCTTCAGCTTGACTTAATGAGAATGAAATATTCAAATTATCGACTGCTTTTCATGTACAGAATGATCGACGAAAATGGAACAAGTTCTGAAGAAAGCAGGCAAAAAGAAGTAAATAATAATGTATGACACAATACAAAATTTAATTAGAACCTAAAGCATGAGACATAAAAGAAAAAGATGAATAAATCAGGCACCATTATATTACAACATTATGTTCATGTATAAACAGGATTTAAAGTGGAAAAATACCAAGCCACATACCAGGTGAACGTAATTTTATTTAATGAGTCTGACAAAATGCCGCTACCCAAAAATGTAAAGAATTCCTGCTAATCAATTATAAAACATTGATTAATTGATGAATATTAAATAGGTCCAGTTAAAAATGGGGGAAATACTTGAAGAGGCATTTCAAAAGAGAGGATATCTAAGTGGTTTATAAACATACGTAAAATTCCCTATTTCATTACTGATCAGGAAAACCGAAAATAAATCAATATTCAAATAGCACTATGGACCTAAGATGATCAGATTAATTCTCTGAAATGGTCAATGTGGGTAAAAATGTGGAAAAGCTGGAACTCTCATAGATTGCTGGTGGTACTGTAAATTTAACAACTGAATTGGAAAATTATCTGGCAGAATCTACTGATGCTAAATATATATAGTAAAGATTAGCAATGTGTTTCCTATGTATACTGAAAGTAAAAAAATGCCTAGGTCTACAAAAAGATCTCTATTAAAAGGTACATAGCAGCTTTATTCGAAAGAAAGAAAGAAAGAAAGAGAGAGAGAGAGAGAGAGAGAAAAGGGAGGTAGGGAAGGAAGGAAGAAGGAAGGAAGGAGTGAGGAAGGAAGGAAGGAAGGAAGGAAGGAAGGAAGGAAGGAAGGAAGGAAGGAAGAAAGGAAGGAAGGAAGATAGAGAAACTACTCAAATATAGATTTACCAGAGCAAAATCGTAAATAAATTGTGCTCTAGTCATAGAATGGGCTACTTTGCAGCAATGAAAACAATAAAACTCATGTTACATGCAACAACAGAAATGTATCTCACAGAGACAATGATGTACAAAGTATTTCAGGGGAGGAAAGTGCTGGGATACATTATGATTTCATTCATGTGATATCCAGAACAGGCAAACTTCCAGGCAGTAATACTAACTGGTGGGTCAAGAGAAAATCTGGGGAGCTTGGGTGTGATCGGTTTAGGTGGTCGGTGATTTAAAGCAAAATATCACTAATTTGTACACTTAAGATATGGGTATTTTACAATATGCCTTTAAACAACAACAGCGATAACAAAAAGCAAATGAAATGATGGCTTATGAGCTCCTCTAAAGCAAGAAAACTGTTTGAGCCAATTCTTCCTTTAAATCCTCAGATACCTTCATAGAGATATCCATGTCTGTGGAAGACACAATTCTTACCTATAAGAACCCTAGAGTGCATTCATCCATTCGGCTCTTCCTCATTGATTTTTTACTTCATGCTAGTATTTGTACAGAAGTCAACAAGTCCAGCTGGGAAAACACATCATCTGATAATTGTTTATAACCTCAGTGAAAGCTGAATAGTATATTTGATGCCATGAAAGGTCAAAAAGAATTTAGATACTCAGTTCAAGAGCATATCTGGCTGGATACAACCAGGATTTGGCTCAGCCTTGTACATTGGTGATTAAGTTCTCGAAGTAAGCTGAAGGACTTTTTACTTCACTTCATGTTTTCTTCACCCTGTCTTTTTACATTATACCTACATTTTTGGAGATTCTGAAGATCTTTTTAATGTTAACAGCCTCTTACTGAATTTCACAGTCTTTGGCATTTTTTTCCTCAGCATCTAAGATCTTAATAAGCATTTCATATCATAGCAGAGACAAGTTAGCTGTTTTCTAAAATAGAAAAAAAAAAATAAACACATAATAGGCAAAGAGAATACAAGAGCAAAACTATTATAGTAAGAGTGAAGATATATATATATATATATAGGAAAATGTGTCTATAAAGCAGAGGCAGATGTAACCTGTATTTTTGGATAGACGATACATTAGAAAGAGGGTCAGGATTTGAAAAAAGGGATTTTGAATGATTTTTTAACGATGCTCATGAAATAGATTTTGATTGCTCTGATTTGCCTTTAACATTTGAACAACATTACTTCTTGTTGTTAATCCAAACGCTCATTTTCCAGGTTAGTGTGCAAAATCAAAAAAGAGAATGTTTTTAAGATGTTCAATGTTATAAAATAATAGAAAAAAGATGGCTCTTTCAACTTTTTTTCTTCTTCTGAACTTCTCTATTGATGTTCACAGCAGGTGAATGGATGCTTCCTGACTTTCAAATGTTTCTTTTCTTTGGCTTTGAAAGAAGAGTTTACCATGAGGTATTAGATGTCTTTAAAAGGATATAATAAATTGTATTGAATTGAATTTAACCAATTTCTTTCATTTAATTATAAGTGAAGAATAACAGTTCAAAGAAAGCCGGAGATGATGCAATACTTAATTTTAAAACACAACACTAGCAAATGTGTTATGCAATATGCCTAGCTCTGAGGAATCTTATTTAGCCCAGGATGTCCAGACATTGAAAACACAGCAATCCTTTCTCATAAAAAGGATGCAGTATGTTTAAGGGACACCATAACTACATAGCAATGCAAGCGCAAACACTTTAATGAGCCTCTTCATGTCAAGATTGTGTCAGACGGGTAACACACAGAATGACACAAATATAGGCAGCATGTGTTTTCATCACATGATCTGCTCAGGGTATTTAAGTATCCCTCTACGCATGCCAACATTCACACTCAGGATCTTCCTTTGAACAGAAAAGCAACTCACCACCTGTGACACCATGAGCTACTTCAGCAACTACTATGGAGGCCTGGGCTATGGCTATGGAGGCTTTGGTGGCCTGGGCTCTGGTTGTGGCTGGGGATGTGCAAGCTTTCCCGGACTGGGCTGTGGCTGGAGCTGGAGAAGCCACAGATATGGCTGCCAGCGCCCATTGTGTTATGGAGGATATGGGTTCTCTGGCTTCTACTAAACTCCTGTGCCAGTAGGCCAACATCTAAAATTATAAGGGACTTACCCAAATTGATGTTCAGTATATGAGCATCCAGTATCCTGCTGGGATTATTGGCACAAAAGTATTTGGCTTCTCAGAAGTTTGGGTTTTTCAATTAATGCCTCCATCTTCAACAAAACTCTAGAATCTTCTTTTTTGCTTTATCACGCATTGGATTATCTGTTTGCATTCTAATAAAATGTTAAATTCAAAGATAAAATATGGTTTTTGTTTTGTCCATGTAACTCAATGATGTGGAAGTGATGAGCTGTTTTAATTTTTAGCCCTATAAGACATGTCAACAAACTTTGGACTATTATCTGATTAAGTGTGAAATGATGAAGCTGCACAACTGTATTTTACCAGCTCTACACATTGAGAATCTATACGATTCTGATGGGATTGGCTGAAGGACAATCATACTAAACTGTCAATGACGGAAGCTATCTCTTTGGCTTAGAATCAAAAAAATTTTTTCATATACTTCACGAACATGCATGCAGTTAGATTTAGAAATTAATAATTCTAGGGGCGCCTGGGTGGCTTAGTCGGTTAAGCGTCCGACTTTCGCTTAGGTCATGATCTCGCGGTTCGTGGGTTCGAGCCCCGCGTCGGGCTCTGTGCTGGCTGCTGGCTCGGAGCATGGAGCCTATTTCGGAGTCTGTGTCTCCCTCTCTCTGTGACCCTCCCCTGCTCACGCTGTCTCTCTCTCTCTCTCTCTCTCTCTCTCTCCTAGAAATAAACAAAAATATTTAAAAAAAAAAAAAGAAAAAAAAAAAAAAGAAATTAATAATTCTAGACCAAAGTGAAAAAAAGGTTTCAAACTGTTAGCAACTTAATATTTTCCAATCTCTTGCTTTTATTTAGATAATATTTAGATTTAAGTCAATAATAAAAAGCAATGGCAATTTAACAAATCTACGTATGTATTTATCAAATATATGTGTTTTATGTTATTCAACTCACATTTTAAAATTCAGTATAATGCATAATAAGTCCATTTATTCAAAATTTATTTGGTTGTTTTATTTGAAGCATAATCAGGTGATAATAGATCAAACCATATCATTAGGCTAATTATGAAAGTAAACCACCTTTTTAAGAATTTTTATGTTTTGAAAAAAAATTTTTAAATATCTTATCCATTTCTGAGGGAGAAAGAGAGAAGCGTGAGCAGGGGAGGGTCAGAGAGAGAAGGAGACACAGAATCCAAAACAGGCTCCAGGCTCTGAGCTAGCTGCCAGCACAGAGCCCGTCGCGGGGCTGGAATCCACAAACCGTGAAATCATGACCTGAGCCAAAGTTGGACACCCAACCAACTGAGCCACCCAGGCGCTCCTATGTTTTGAAAGATTTCACCCCATATATCATATTTTTTTGCACATTATATCATTTGACATTTGCATCAAACAACTGGTATCTATAAGTCAGTAATGAATTGGGGCAAGTTTTCTCCTGTGAGGTCATTTAACTCAAAACATTTTGACTAAAACTTTTAGTTAACTTTCCTATATTCTCATTTGCATCTTCATGAGCAGACATAAGATTTTTTTTCAATCCAATAAGGGAAAGAAACAACCAGACATGATTTTAAACTAATTTATTTTTTAGCTTAAGCTGGTGTGGAACATAGCTGAATCCACAGAGCCTACTTATAAATCTGAATTTTCCCAGATGAAAATGGACAGAAAGAGACATTTTACTGATGAAATGAGAAAAAGGCTTAAGGAAATAACAATTTTTTCCCTAAAATCAAATGATATGTTCCAGTAACAATATAAAATTAATATATTTTGCTTAAATGTGTCAAAATTGGTCAAATATGTTTGATTTGTTCTTTCTTAGAATTACCATTTCTATTAACATTGTGATGTTATGATTCAAAGAATTAACACTCTCAGTGTTAGTTTTATCTAGATTTCACCTATATCTATAGACATCTCTCTCTCTCTTCTCTCTATCAAAAGATGAAAGTATTCTTTCAAAAGGAAAGAGGTATTCAGTGTACCTAAAGATTAGTCTGCACAGCCATCAGTTATAACCCAACCTTTTAGTCAATCCAGTCTGGATGTTGTAGATTCACAGCAAATGAGATACAGCTCTATGGCTCGGTTATTTTACACATGATCAGGGAACAGTCCTTCAGCATGCCCTATAAAGCTAAAAGTAAAAACAGTCATCCGTATTATTAGATTGAGAAACACTGTATGACACTCCTAGCAAAACACATTAACATATATTATTATATCTTATTTCATGGTTTAATTAGTACTTTTTAGTGAAGGAAATATACTTTGAATTTATAACAGAAGTTCCATTATCTTCCAAATAAAAGCTATTATCTGGCCAATGGACAAGTATATTTTCATCATTTCATACATAAACACAGGATCTGACTTTCACACCAAGTCATTGTCTTGTAGAAAGTTCCTGAGAAGAGAATGACAAAGAATTGTCTAAGTCTTTGAGTCCTCTATACACCAGAGAAAAATAAACAAACAAAAACTCAAAAGAAATATACATTTCTCAGTTTTCAAAGATAATTAGTATCCAGAGGATGTTACCATTTTTCCATTTTTTATCTCAGGAAAAAAAAAAACAATAAAAGATATTTAGTTCATATATTTCAGGGTATTATTTCACAACTTTCCATTCTTAATCATATCCCAATCTTCTTTGAAAATACATAAATAAGGGTACTTTTTATTCTGGAGTTTTCAAAAAATTTTGAAATATATTGGTTTTTATTTCATGTGGACAGTTATTTGCATCAGAAATAAGAACATAAATTTGTCACCACAGTCAAACAATCTACCACATTTCATTGACCATTCATGAGATTCTTAAACTTGTAAGATCTATTTGTGATTGTTTGGCTTCAATGTGACTTTTTGAGAATTAAAAATTTTTCCAACTCTCTTTCACAATGAACAGTAGATATGGAATAAATTTTGATAAGAAGAAAAAAGGAGTTAATAGCCAAGGCAAATACTGGGTTAAATATTCCTTTAAAACTTGAAAGCCATTTTAATCCATATTCCATCTCTAGAATTTTGAGTAATTCTCTAGAATTACTTCTTTTATTAATTCAACAAATATTTTATTGTCATAAGAACAACTAACAAATCCAGTTGAGAAACTGCATTATCAAAAATGTTACAGGGGGACCAGGTAACTCAGTCAGTTAAGCATCTGATTCTTGATTTCAGCTGAGGTCATGATCTCATGGTTTGTGAGTTCGAGCCCCATGCCTGTGCTGTCAATGCAGAACCTGTACAGATTCTTTCTCTCCCTGTCTCTCTCTCTCTCTCTTTCTCTCTCTTTCAAAATAAATAGATAAACCTAAAAAACAAAAACAAAATAAAAATGTTACAAAAACACTAAGTCAAGAAGTTATATGCACACGATGTTCAATATGGCATTATTTATAATAGTCAAAATATAGAGACAACCTGTGCCCATTGAGGGATAAAGAAAGAATAACACACACACACACACACACATATTTTGCTAGGGTGGAATATTATTCAGCCATGAAAAAGAAGGGAATCTTGTCATTTACAATAACATGGATGGATCTTGAGGGAATTATTCTAAATGAAATAAGTCAGACAAAGATCAATACTGTATGATCTCACATATATGTAGAATCTAAAAATACAAAAACTAAAAATTGAGCTTACAGATACAAAAAACAGATTGGTGGTTGCCAGAGGCAAGGGATGGGGGTGGGCTAGGAAAAAATGGGTGAAGGGGTCAAAAGATACAACCAATTATAAAATAAATAAGTCATAAAGATGTAATATATAGCTACATATTGCATATATGAAAGTTTCTAAGACAGTAGACCTTAAAAATTCTCAAGAAAAAAAATTGTAACTGTGTATGGTGATGAATGTTATCTAGACTCACTGTGGTGTTCATTTCTCAATATATACAAATATCAAATCATTACATTGTATACCTGAAACTAGTATAATATTATATATCAATTACAGGCCAATAAATAAAACACTGCTTATAAATTTCAGCACAAAACAAAAACAGTACAGCAATAACAAAAGGAAACAAAATCTTCAGTAGCATGTTTAATGTCATGTAAAGTAAACATATTGCTAAAAACCCAAGTCTAGAGGTGGCCACATTCCAGTGGGACTTAACCTTTGGATTTGATTTACTATCTTCACAGAGTGAGAGAGCTGAGCAACCCGTGAAAAATGGCCATCTGTCTTCATGTCCTTGTCTCCTGCCTCAGTCATTTCATGACTGCATGTTCATTCTTGGTGACTTTCAAACAATCAGGATTTTAGGAGACTCTCTTAAAAATATTACATTGATATTAAGAGTATATATTCTGTAAAAATGTTTAAACTTTAATAAATAAGTAATAGCATACAAAAAGAAAATGCTTGCTGATTGCCTAAGAGAAAATAGGGGGTAAGAAACACAGAATTGGTAAAGAAAATTTAAGGACAAAAATATTGTGATGAAATTAGATACTATATGGGTAGAGAGATGAAATACTGAGTGGAAAAAATGGATAAGAACCAAAGACCTAGGTGGGGTCAAGTATGTATTGGGGATGAATGTGGAATGAGATTCAAGGGGAGGTTTGATATATGGATTATGAAGAAAAGTAAAGAACGAAAATGGTAACTATAAAGCATAGAGCCAAGTTCATCTGCATTTTTAGCTAATATTTTGGGAACCTAGTCTGGAAAAATGAGTAATGTGTAAAGAGAGTATTTTTGAACTGCATACAGATTGGTTATAAAAGTGAGTTGGGTGTCTTGGATGGTCCCTCAGTTTCTGAAATAAATTTTACTATGCTGATTAACCAAAAGCATGTTTTGCAAGCTGATATTTGTGTCTGTGTGTTTGTGCATGTGTGTGTGTATGTGTGTGTGTATTCAACCTGAGAAATAAATATGACTTTTGGAGAATTTGAGAGATTTAAGAATTTTAAATGTGATCATTGT